CTTTGCATTAAATATATTATATATATAATATGAACATATGTTATTAGTAGTTGTCCGTAGCCAAAACTAACCATGATCGTGTCACAGCCATGACTCATCATCGCCTGTTACCCCGTTGCCAAAGAATAGATCGGCAACAAGAAGCTGTTGATATCGCTGGGACAGGAGAGCCGCATGATCTGACAAACAATAATGGTGTCAATCAGGACGGTGAGAATGAGCAGCCATGGACCCCGTCCAGCTTGCTCGAGCTGGGTCAAAATGACCAAGATGGCCAGGTAACTTTGGTATCATGTGACTATGTAGCCACGCACGCTAATCAATTGAGAGGGTCATAGCTTACCTGGTGTCTCCAGCAGGAGCCTTTGCCGGCCAAGGAGCCAGAGGGTTCAGGTAGCAGGAAGGCCAGATCCAAGCGAGGTGTGTCAAAGGTTCCTATTGGTAGGAATGCACACTGGCACATCACTGAGTTCGATGAATTCGGGGATCCACTCTCACCGCCTATTGCTTTGACCAAATACAAGACTATCCTTAGGTTACTTGTAAGGGACTTCATCCAATTAGGTACAGGAAGTGGAATGGGAATGATAATGACCCGTGGAGGGTTCCCGAAAGTGAGAAGGATTACATATGGGATATCAAGATCCTAGAGTATTTCACTTTCCCAACGGAGTAGGACAAGGAGGTAGTCAAGAAAAAAGTAAAAGAAATCATGGGGACATGCTTCAAGAATTTCAAGGGGACATTGTACAAGAATTTTGTCCTCCAAAATAAAGAGCCAGATTTCGATGGTGGACAGTTTAGCAAGCAGAAGGACTTCTGGCAGGATTTCAAGGAATACAGGTTATCCAAGGAGTACTTAGAACTGAGCAGGAAGAATATGGAGAACTCATAGAAAGCGATGAATCCTCATCATCTCGGCTCTCGTGGCAACGCCAAAAAGATGCCAGAATTTGAAGCAGAACTTGAAAAGATGGATCACCTTGCTGAGGAAGACGATCAGGTTAAGACTGCCCATTGGGAGCCAAGATCGGTATTATACTGTATGGGGAGGAATGTACATCACGCCGAGGACGGGAGCTTTAGCTCCACAAATCCACCCATGAGCAAACTCAACCAGAGGATCTCCCAGGTAACTGAGGAGGTTAGGCAAGCGACTCGCACTTCTAATAGGGAGAAAGACGTGCTCACCCAAGAACTCAAAACCAAGGAGCACCCTAGTCGCACTAGAGGAACCGGTGTTGTTCCTTGGAAACTAGCATTCCCCAAAGAATCTCACACTTACTAGAGCCGCTCGACGGGTAGAGCAGATCAGGAGGCAGAGTGTTTGAGGCGACTAAAAGAGATGGAAGATAGAATAGATGGACGGATTGAGGCGACTGTTAAAGCACGAGTCCAGCAAATTTTGCTGTCCAAGGGGTCAGGAGTACCACAAAACCCTACTCCTACTACCTTTAGCCCATAGTTTAGGGGTCGCAGCAGCTGCGGATCGACCCTGCTCGACGAAGAAGATGCGAATGTGCCTCATCCGGTGGACGGCATCACTAAACCTATCAATGTCAAGTTGTACATCTATCAGCAATGAACAAAGGACAAGGTGGCGCTCGGCCAGGCCTAGCCTACGGGAGACGGGATGATTAATGGCTGCCTAATTCCATAGGGGTACGCTCGCATCACCATTGATAGAATACTTAATAAGAAGTATAATAAGAAACACATTGAGTACCCCACAGTGGAAGACAGGCCGAAACATGGTCATAATAAGGGCTCTCAAGTGGCCTGGCGCAAGCGCTTCAACAAGCTTTACCACCAATTGTCCTCTGATGACGAGGACGACTATGAGTCTTCGCCCACCTGCGATGATCACTCACCATCTCCCAACAGAGATCACGCCCCTCCTCATCCCTTGCCATAACCCGTGAGAAGACAGAGGTCTCCTTCTATTCCTCCTCATCCGACTCCATCTTCATTAGCCGCAAGAAAAGAGAAGACTCCTCCTCCTCCTCCTCCTCCATCTTCATCATCCCTAGGAAAACAGAATTCTCGTCGTCATCCTCCTCCTCCTCCTCCACCTCAGCACAAAATAAGATCAAAGGCATCCTCGCAGTCGTAGAAAAGGTCCTTGGATTCAGTCGCTAATGCTCCCAAAGTGGACCAACAAAAAAGAAAAAGGCCGTTCAGTGGCAGCGTTACAAACTTGATTGAAGAAAAATTTACAGCACACATCTCGAAGGAAGATTATGTTAGTTTCTTCAATCTCTGTGCCTCACTGCCTCCATGTTTGTTGAAGTCCAAATTCAAAAGGCAAACACAGAATCAGTATGCTACAATAAGATCTGATGAAATACACAATGAAGATTTAAGGAAGATATAGACGTACGTCAAAGACAACCCTGAATTAACCATGGAAGAGGCCGCGAACATCTATTATGATGTACAAGGGACGAGAACACTAGCAATGAAGTATGAAAGGGGTAATCTTTTGGTTCCCGGTGACGAGTACAAAAATTTGACAACATATATGCGTCAGTTGCATGAATATTACATAGCTCAAGCAACAGAGACGGAGGACTTTGGTTTTGAGGTTATTATCTGTTAGCCACATGTTTTTTATTATCCTGAAGAAGAGAAGTTCGATTTCGAGTGGGAGTGCTTGTTCCAACTATAGCAGAAACGCTCTCTCGATTCACAAATGTTGACGCTGTGGACTATGTAACTACCCTATATGCACGATATTATAATTAACTACTCTCTCGAGACACAAATTGTTAACTTTTGAGCAATTTCCGTGATTTTATGTAGGTGTATAGCAAAAATTTGCATACTAAAAAGCAAATGAGATAACATAGGCTTTTTGGACCCCTTGCGAGTCAATGAGAAGACATGTTTAGGCCTCCATGGATGTGACGTGGAAGACCTAAAAGCGAGATTGATTGTTGTTTTCGATGAATTCAAGATGAAGAACAAAACCCACATACTTCTAGCCTACAACTGTGAGTATGTGTTCTCGGCTTTTAATTTTATGCTTCTTTTTTTGTTAAGATTATTCGATAATTAGGATTCTGTGATTACAGCAATCATTTCATCTTCATTTGTGTCAATCTTGCTAAAAATCTGATCGAGGTGTGGGACTCAAAGAAAAAACTATTTCATCATCTGGATGCACTGGTGGCAGTGCTAAATTAGTAAGCGATCCTAATAACATATTATTTTCTAGTCACATATACCGCTTTCTAATGTTGCACAGTGTCCGAAGAAGACATATCGGTGGGACACAGGTCCCATTCAAGGTTGTCGAAATGGAGGGGAAGTACCTAAAACAGCCGGCGGAAACAATCAATGCGGGTTTTATGTAATGTGGGCAATGCTTCGCTACATCAGCGGAAAATCGGAAGAAGCAGATAAGTTAGTGTGTATAATCCCCATTTCATTTATGTCTGTTAATAATTCAACAAAATGATTTACTGATTCCTCTTTGGATATCATCTTTTTTGAACGACAGCGTAAGAAAAATAACCATGAAAGGCTGTTAGACATGGAGATCGTCGCACTGCAATCGGAGCTGGCAAAATTCATCTTAGCCGAGGTATTGGAAAAAGATAGAGTATTTTTTATTGCACAATCCGTGAAGTTCAAGGACCAGTATGGCCTAGAGCGGCTCGCTAGATTATTGTAAGAAGTTCGAGAAGCATGCTTCATCTTATCGAATAATTTCTTTTTTATTTTGAGAGACCGAGATCTTGATAAGAACATTTGAACGGTAACCGTAATATTTGTAATGTTTAATATTGATGGACCTGTCGTCTACGTAGCGTATATAGAGCGAAACCCAATTCCACGAAAAAATATAAATTAAAATAAATTATAAAACAATAAAATACGAACGGGCCATCACTGCCGGTTAGCAACAAACCGGTAGTGTTGTCGTAACCATCACTGCCGGTTAGCAACAAACCGACAGTGTTGTCATAACCATCGCTGCCGATTAGCAACAAACCGACAATGTTGGCTTGCTCAACACTGCCGGCTTGAGCCATGAACCGATAGTGTTGGCTTGCTCAACACTGCCGACTTGAGCCATGAACCGACAATGCAGGCTTGCTCAACACTGCTGGCTTGAGCCAAGAAACGACACTCTTGAAGCAACCATCACTGTCGGTTAGGACTACAAACCGGCAGTGTTGCTCAACTGGACACTGCCGGGTGGAGCTAGGAACCGATATTGTTGCCTATAAATCAGTGTCGGTTTTTAAGAACCGGCAGTGATGTCAACCCCCCATCACTGCCGGTATGCCATTGTCGGTTCAAAATCCGGCAGTGAAGGAGGTTTTTGAACCGACAGTGATGTCCAGATATGGGGTAGTGTGTTCTAATTTGTGATGTTGGGTACGCACGTTGAGGATAGTCAATAAGTGTTTACTTAGTGTAAATCCCACAGTAGCAACCTTGGTGCTACCTTGTGTATGGCCAACAAACAAATATAGAACATGCGCATTATACAATTGATGAGAAAATACACATAAAATGTTGCATCCATAATTTAAGCACGTAGTGCTTTAAAATTGAAAAGCTTAAATGGGCTTAAATCAAATGATCGATTGCATATTAAATAAATGAATTGCAAGATCATGGCCGTAATAGGAAGGATACTTGTTTATTTGATTTGCCATACAATGGGACAAATACTTTGAACAGTACCATAAATAGACATTTTACAATAGTAAAACATCACAAGTACAATAATTGTTAAAGTCAGGGACCTAAACAAATAGTACTTACACATAGAATAACTATGTAGTTTGTTGCAGAGAATTATTAGAGACAAATAGCCTTATACGAATTCTTTGCAAATAAATAAAAAAAAGATAAGTAGCAGGCTTGCCGGCCGTCAGGCCCATTTAGCAAGGATGCTGTACAAGCATGTTGCATGCCATCCAAGCAAAACGATCCGATAAGAACGAGTGGCAGAAACTGCCTCTCACTCGAAGCCATCGCTATCGCTATCGGAGCCTGCAGAAACACCACCGCCGTTGCCATGGAGGAGGCCGCTGCAGTCGCCGAATCGCCCCGTTACCGACGGATTCAAGCAGCCGAACAGCGCTCCCTCCTCCCTCGAGATGCTTAGGCTGGCAAGGGGGCGCGGCCCTCAACCTCGTGTGAGGAGAGGTGCCCCGCGCCGCCATTCTCGCTTGACCCGGCGTGGCCGTTGGGGAGGCCGCGCGCCGATGGTCCGTGAGGGACGCGGAGCCAGGTCTGTCGCAGGCCGGGGCGGCGGTTGGTGGCTTCGCAGCTTGGACGCGATGTGGAATCGGCGCAGTCGGCAGAGGCGGAGGAGGCGGGGCGTCATCGAGGGCGCGGCTGCTCGAAATTTCACCACGCGCGAGCACGGGCAGGCGCGTCGGGGCTGAGCGGCGTGCCGCTGTCGTTGATGGGGAGCGGCTCCGTGCCCTCCTCAAACCCACCATGGTGAAGTACGGAGTCGGCGTTGGTGGCGCCGGCTCGACCTCCATCGGCTCAGGGGCGGCCCAGTTAGAGGGGACGGCGACTTCAGGTGCAGGAGACGGGTAGGGGCCGTGGCCATGTTCGACGCAGAACCGCGGCAGCCACGACGGACATGGTCCCGGTCCGTGATCGGGGCAGATGGATCCCGTTGCTGGCGCAGGGGCCATTGGAGCATCGGTGGAGTGACGATGACGTCCACCACGCCCACTTACTCGCATTCGAAGCCCTTGTCCTCTTCCCCGACGTTCACCAAGAAGATAACGGGAGGTGTCAAGGAGTTCGGCGCGAATCATGCGATGGTTGAATGGGAGCCCCATGCTAACGGCGCGATGGAAGATAAGTCGACGATCAAAATCGCCGGAGGTACGTAGCGCAGAGGCGGCAGCGTACCTTCGAATCTTCTTCCGTTCTTGAGAGCGAGGTGCTGATAACGTGTTAGAAGTGAAGGTAAATGAACAAGATTGGAACAACTGTTGCTTTCATGTTTCTCTAAAATATATTTATACGAGTGAAAATGTATCACAACTGTTTCCAAAAGACACGCTCTTTGAGACTAAAACTAACTATCTAATCATATCCACTAATTCGGTGTTTGATGGATGAGATCACTCATAAAGAGACATGTCTAATTCTATCCACTAATCCTATGCTCGATGGATGAGATCACTCATGAAGAGACATATGTTCGTCTGTTCAAGTATAGGTGTCGTTTCACAACAATCCAAATACAAATACAGGCCAGCTCTCGCATAAAGTTTCGAGAAAAATGCCCTGACATGGAAATAGTAGAATATCCTATTTAAAGTAGTCAAGGGCTAAATATTTTGAGACAAAGGAATATACTAAAACAACAATCTATTCGATTTTCGAAAGCAGATACATCGTTTCGAAGTTTCCCTATGGCAATAATTCGAAACGGTAAACTTAGCTGCGTGCTGACCAATATACCAAAATCTGAACGTACAGCAACTGAATAAACAGTGATAGGCCTACAATATACATTTAGCACACAGGAAGAATTAGGATCGTGAATCATGCTGAAACAACAGCCACCATGCCAGCCATTTTATAATTTAAAGTAAGCAAGCCACCGCACTGCAGCTATAATTTCTGCACTGTTCATGTCAAACACAAACTCATCAAATAGGATCAGAAATAAATAGATCAGACAACGCACTGGAAACAATATTACTTATCACAGTTGAGTTCAGATTTGCACATAATAGTTAATACTTGCACGAGAACCACAGACAAGTTGCACTCCAGCACGCATTAGTCCAAACTTAAACAAGAGATATAGGAGCTGATTGACTAGGCACAAGATGGACTCTAGAAAACACCAGGGCAGTCACATTCAGAAGCTTCCAAGCACAACACGTCAGCACCAAATTTTTATGTAGGTCACCAGCAACCTGCCAAGAGAATTTACATAAGACTTGGTTTGCAGTGAGAAAACATATGATGCAGCATACAAACATTATACATGCAGGATAGTGCCCTAAAGAAGACCGAAAACATTTACTGACCATGAACACCATCAAAGAAGCATAATCGACAGAACTAATGGTTCTTGCTGCCATCTGCGTATAGAAAGAGTTGGGGACAGTGGCATCAGTAGGTTATATAGTTATGTAATTTGGGGAAAATTTAGAAGGCACAATAATAAGTTTAGTTTCAGGGCACAGACCTAGCATTGAAGGCTCAAGGAAATGCTCGTCTTCAGGAAACATCTGAAGATTGATGGCAGACCTAACTGTCTCAAGCAGTGGGATCTGTGAAGAATTGACAGGTAGAAAGTTGAACATAGATGGCAGAGACATTGATGGTGATGCATCAGCTCCAGACTTTATGAGTGTTACAAAAGCATCCATGAAAGCGCTTGGGACACACTCTAGAATTCCCTTGTTCCACGGACTGTCAAACAGTATAGCCTCCCTTGACGAAGCAAGGAGGAAGTCAGCCTGAATGATGAAGGGGAAGCTTGTTACCATCTCAGTTGGGAGGAAAGCATAGATGCCAGGTGATAGCTGCTTCCCACGGGACAGGACGCCGCCATGTGGGAAGGCCAGGGTTATCACCCATTCATCAATTTCAGCACGCTTATCGACTCTGTTCTCTGGCTTTTACCGGGAATTTCTGCCTCACATATAATAACCACATTCAGCTTCATCTTTCCCGGTCCCTTCAGCAGATAAATGGATTGTGTACGACTCAGCATGCATGTTCTTCCTGGCTTGGTAGTTCTTTTCACTGGATATCGAAATCTCACTAACAGTTGTATTGCTGGGATCAGAGTTATCCTCCCGGACAGAAAGTTTCCTGATCTTTGTCAGGAACAGTAGCATTTCAGGATGCATGCTTGACAGCTGCCTCTTCACCGCATCAATCTTCTCACTCTTCAATGGTAAGATGATGATAGTTGTAGGTAGGACCTTTGAGCACCCATATAATGCTTCGATGTCAGAAAGGCTAGGTGTGGATTCCACCCACTGAGGTACAATGTACCCAATATTGCATTCTGCACAAGGTTTCTCATTGAACTTGATCTGATAGCCGTTGCTGAATATGTGGGGCTGACTTGATATCAAGAACACACTTTTGAACCCAATACCTGAATCAGAGGCAACAAAAAATTAGTTGAAACGAGGCACAAATAGTAACCAGATATGCAGTACGTTATGTAATCCTTTGCAGTGAATTGGTTGTAGTAGGTAAACAGATAATGAAAAAAAATGCTACAAAGATTTGACATCTGATGAAACAAATTTGAGCAAGGTTACATTAGGCGTTAGGCGCTCTCTAGGCAGTGACCCTCTTCCTCTCGCCTAACCGTTTTAAGGCGTTTTGTACAAATACATATATTATATCTAAAAGAAAAGAATAAAGCGGAATAGTGGGATTAGATTGGAAATAAGGCACATCAAAGAGTCCAGCCCATCTTACCCACTCCAACCTTATCCATCTGCCTCCTCCCAATTCAAGTGGCACGCACGCACTCAACTCTCCTAGCGCTCATCGCCCGCCACCTCTACTTCCGCTCATGCCCGCCTCCTTTTGGCCACGCTCGTCACCCACCAACTGTTGCCCACCGCTAGCCTCCTCCCGGTCATGGCCACGGCACACCCCCCTCCCGATCGCACAGGCTGCTAGCCTCCCCCCGGTGACGCTCGCCGCCTTCGCCTCCACCCGTTGTCACTCCCTTAGACAACGTGGCTCCGGATCTAGGGGCACACCACCTATCGGTTGGTGCATAAAAAGGAAACAAAAATCCCTAATCCCCTAATCTCAGGAGCAGTGCCGTATGGCCTAACATGTATCTATTGCTATAGCGTATTTATATATCTACGTGCATAATTATATACCACATATATTTTAAATGGCTACGTATATCTCTTGCATATATATCTACATTCGCAATTACATACTTATATCTTTTCCAGTTTATCCTAATCAAATTATGTCATGTCCAAAGTTGCAAAATAAAAAGATATACCACATCCAATAGATCATGCATGCATCAATTAGATCTAGAAGGTTTTTTATATCTAAACCTTACCTATTTTATAAAAGATAAAATTAAATAAATATATATTTTACCTATTACCTCCTAGGAAATAATGGATGATCCTAACGATCTGATCTAATTAAATAAACAGCTCACAGTCATTTAAATTTAAATGCATAATATTAGCATAACTATTGTTTAATTCATCTAAAAATATGTTTATCAATTTGACTAAAGTAATCCATCCCAAGTCTTTAGTTTATGAATGCTAATGCTAGCATCTCAAAACATAATATGTGTAGTTGTGTATTAAAATAATTGTCTTAAAGGCCTTACTTTAGTTAGATAGGATTACAAAATTTTGTCTAAAAACAATTACAATATTTATTTTAATGCATAATATGAGCATACGCTCTTGTACCACAATGAGGTCTCTACCACTGTAAGACATGGCAACCAAAAAAGAAATTAGAAAAGACATAGCTTTCATGTAATATTGTTTTAAATGGCGTGATCTATGATTATTTGGTCGAAACCACCTTATTGGTAGAAATTACCATAAGTTCAAAACATGGCACGTCCATAGTAAATTCATATATCGGACACATGTCTTAAAAGTTGAGATGCAAGTCCGTTCGTGTTCTAGTGCAAATGCACCTAGATTTTTGTATGAACTCAACTTTTCTACAAATCGGATGCAATATGGAGGGGCCAAGTGTCATTTTAAAAAAAAAACTTCTAAATATATTTTTCAAGTGGTTTCCACGATTCCATGGAATGTTTTCCCATGATATAATTGATCAGCATCATATTAAGTACTGAACATAGTTTTAGTCATTCAAAATTAAAATATTGTATGATCTTTTACTGCTATCATTTGCCTGAAATTGTCTCAAAAGGTCCTAACTAATTTTATCTCCGTCGATGAATATTTCTTTTTCTGAATGGTGGTTTAGGAAACAAAATGAATGAAAAAAACTGTGAATATTTACCTTTCTCTCCAATGTAACCCTGATGTCTGTTTCCCTTCTTTGTTGATTTCCCAACACGACAAATTGACTCTATATTGGTTGCAGAGAAACCCCTCTCATTGTTGAAGATGAGCAAAGTTGAGGATGCACCACATCCAGTAATATCCTTTGATGTAATGAGGAACTCCAAAGAAGGTGCTACTTCAGAAGGGTATTCATTATCTTCAGCGTTCTATTTTTTGAGAAAGAAAGCAAAGTATGAGAAGAAGTATTAAGATTTAAGCACAAACACACCTGCAAACTGATATAAATAAGGTGGCCACAGACAATGCCTAACTTCCAAGGATTAGTGTTTTTATTCTAAAAAAAAGGATTAGTGTTTTTGTTCGCTTCACAAGTTAAGAGGAATCAAATAAATACAGAGGACACACAAGAAGATGAACTTTTTGTTTTACCAGTTAGTTCTGCTATTCATCATTGAAGAAAAGGATTATGACAACTACATGTCTTTTTAAATTCGACAATAAACTCGCAATACTGAAAAGGAGGGCTGACAAATTATGCTAACAAATAAAAGAATTCTGCTAAATCGGTGCCCAAATTCATACACACATATAGAATAGTTATTCTTTGGCAGTTGACACCAAATTAAACAGAAATAATCTGATGGAACACAAAGGCACACAGAAAGGGCAACTCACACAGCGGTTCACAGCTAGTATGTGCACATCAATTAGCCAATTGCAGAAACTGTAGAGCATAGTAGCCTCAAGGCCCTGAACTAAGTTTCCGCTCACACAAGAACAGCGACAGCAAGAGAAACGTCAAAAGGAGATTACACCGGCCGATCGATTACCTGCACGAGCTCCATGAGGAAGTGCACGTCCTTGGAGTAGAGCTCCTGAGAGAGGTAGTTGACGGAATGGTGCACGTCCTCCGCCAGTGGGTTCTGCTCGCCGCGCCCGATGTAGTAGCGCTCCCGCCGGATCCTCTCCACGTGCTCCCGCGGCGACGCCGGCGGCGGCATCGCCGAGGACGACGACATTTTGACGGTTCCACTTCCACTGGACTACCAAGGGGAAGGAACGCGGCGTGGGTTGCGAGAAAGTGCAGAAGGGAGAGGGAGAGGAGGGGTCTTCTTCCGGGCTTGCAGGCTGCCTTTATAACCACGGTGATTACAACGGCGGTTCTTCGAATTCTTTCAAACTTCTCAGCGCCAACTTTCGAATAGCCAGCTAGATTAGACTTAAAAAAAACATTATAGTTGAGAGTTATTTGAGCTGTGGGAGAGTTATTTCTAGTAGATCGTGCTAGACTAGTTATTTAGGAGCCACTAGCTATTTGATCTCTCCCTGATAATCAATAGAATTCTTTTTAGAGCTGTAAGAGTGTTGTTTCTAAGAGATCGTGCTAGAGTAGCTATTTGGGAGTCACTGGCTATTTGATCTCTCCCTGATAACTAATAGAATTCTTCATAAACTACTCCTTAGGCTCGCGTCCTTAGTACTATTTAGAAACCATTGAGAACGTCCTTAGGCTCGCGTTAAATTACCAACTCTACTTTACCTTTGCCTGTCCAGGATAATCACAAGTAGAAGCTAGGAGGGAAAATTAGCTCTTGTCTATCAAAGGTGTCGTTTGAATTCCAAGCGATTCTAAGAATTTAGATTAAAAAATCCCAACAGTTTTATTAGATTTCAAGATTTAAAAAACTGTGAGTTAAAATCTCTCTAAAATCTAGTCCATTTGGACGAGACACACGATTGTGTCATTTTTTCCTCGATCCGGATTCTAATCCAGAGGATTCAGAAGGGCCTAATAAATAAGAAAGCTAATAAATAATGAGTTAATTTTAGTCAACTTCTTAGCTAGTTGTTACTTCCTCCGTTCTCTTTTTATACGAACATGGTGATCGGGGTAGCCCGCATGTGCATCGCCATCCCTGATCTGCTTTTGCAACATCCATATGAAACAACTTTAACATACCTCAGAAATGTCTAGATACATATATTTGGAACATAGCGGAGGGGGAGCGCCTATGCCGGTCGATTCCGGCCGTCGGGGTGGGAGCCAGTGGCAAGCGGCTGCTCGCGAGCACCACTAGCATCTAGCAACAGCGACGCGTGCGAGCACCACCGCCACCAGTGCCACCAACACCGGGCTTGGCTCGGGCAGGCGGGCGGCGCGTGTGACGGGCAGAGCGAGCACCACCAGCACCAGCGCGCGACGAGGGCAAGCGAGCGGTGACAGATGGGGAGTGTGGCAGCAACGAGGGGATTGCACGTCCATGCTCAGGACGGGGCAGCCGCAAGGCACTGCGGCAGTTGATGAGGAAGCGGAAGGGATATTGATGGATGATTTTTTTCAAAAAACTCGCAGGGAGAACGAGCGGCAGGGTAAAGCGCAAGCAACGAGGCGGTGGACCTGTGGGAGTGTCCGATGATTTGTGCTCGCGTCGGATGTAAGACACGTAGCATTACCACTTTTTATAAGGTGCGGTCGGACATACCAAGGTCTACCAAATTACAATTTGATTATTTATTTATTTTTACATTATATTGTTTATACTTATAAACTTATGATAATTTGATACTATATTTAATTGCAAATCTAAATATATCAAATTTGTAATATTATAATTAAAAAGTATTAGTCAAATTATTGTTAAAGAGTTTTAAAGTTTAATTTTTCATATATGTTTATGCCATATAAAAGAGAGTCAAGGGAATAGCATATAACTTATCAGGGCTAATAGTATATTGCTAGGGATGTATGCACCTTTTATTAGACTGGGAACCAAACATGTGTAATGCTAATAGTGAGATGACTAAATTTTAGCTGGTCTCGAGTAATAATTAGATTTAGCTAAACAGGTCTGGTCCATCTTGTCACTTTTAAAAAATATTGTGGGAGTAGTGCTGAAATTCAGAAGTGACTGTAAATTAAAGGGTGGTTACAGTACTAAGTTTTGCAAGTATAATTTCGGAGTTAATTGATATATTGTTCTTTAAAGTCACTTCATCCCTATTATTACTATCTCGGGAGACTAAATTGACATGTCTCGAGTTTATTGGTGGACATGTGGTTTATTATCAAAAAAATATATTCCTTAATAAATTAAATATACAGATATATATCAGTCAAGTATCATGAAAGCTGATCAAGATTAGTACAAAGTGTCTCTCAACTTTGCTGCTACGCACCCGAGCACAAACTTTTGCTACTGCTAACATTGGTCATCTTCGCGGCGAAGGTTGCTTCCCTACCCAGCTACCCTACACGGCTACACATCGTTAAGCAAGGCCAGGACGGAATCAGTCTTTCTGAGGCAGAGCGTCTCGTCTCGACTGTGAGCTGCCCAAGTGACACGACGAGAACCGTGAAACGTCTAGGTCGCTGTCACTTGTTCGTCGTCCCACCGCGTGGAAAGCTACCCCAGGACGACGCAGCTGTTTACCTGTTTGGTACTCATTGGATTAAAGGTATACAGAGTCTAGTCAATTTTGAAGAGGACCTTCCTCTTTTCAGCCTCAATTTTGGAGTGATCACTCTTTTTCCAAAAATAAAATAGGATATGGAGCAAGCCAAAAATGTAAAATTATTGCTCTGTGTCTTTAAACAAATATTTAGTCTAAAGATTAATTTTCATAACCACGAGATTTTCTGTTTTAGAGGAGCAAATATAGTTACGAGAGTAAATATACTAAACTCTTTTAGATGTGAAGTACTCCCTCCGTCCCTAAATCTCTGTCCTTTTCGCTTCCCAAGAAACAACTTTGACTAAATATATAAAAAAATATATTAATATTTATGGTACATAATTAATATCAATAGATAGATATTTGAATCTAGTTTTTTAATAAATATATTTGGAGATACAAATGTTGCACGTATTTTTCTACAAATCAAGTCAAACTTTCGGTATGGAAACCAACGGCGACAGTTAATTAGGGACAAAGGGAGTAAGGTCACACCCTTTCAGGTACCTATGCACATCTACAAACTTCATAACACAGATTGGAGTGTAATGGAGGAAAGATTCAAGTATAAACTAAGTACGTGGGAAGCTAAACATCTATCTTACTAGAAGCATATCCCATAAGTTGTTGTGTTGTTTTCTTAGAATAAGACCACCACATGTATGAGTTAAACTTACAATAAAAAGTTAATGAAAAAGTCCAATAAAAAGCCTAACAGAATTATATTAAATTATAAGATGTGTATGAACGACAAAACAAATAGCAACATATAGATGTCTCCTATATTTTTAATATATTAAAAGTAGTCATTGCACTTGGTGAAGATGACGTGGATAGCTTATATTAAGAGGTTGAAAGTTAGTGGGATGAGATGGCTATTAGTGGGAGATGATGTGAATGGCTTGCATATTAAGATGGAACTTGTAGTGGGGATTAGCTTTCTAAGAGATTGTAAAGAAAATAGGCCCAAGGGCCATTTAGTTTGGATTTTGGTGTTTGATGATCAACATGATCATTTGGACTACTATTGTTTGCTAGTGGTTTTAGATATAGTTCAAAGGATGCAAAGTGGACTTGGACTTAGGCAAAGTGGTGATCCGGATGATCAACACCTCAAGCAAGACAATTAAACACATGTTGAAACTCACAAGACATGCAAAAGTCCAAGAAACAAGATGGAATGGAACCAAGTCGGACGCAAAGATCGCGAAGAAACAAGTTGAAAGAGGCTTCAGTAGGGCGTCCAACCTAGGAGGCGCGTCTATCCAAAGGAAATAGCTAACCCTAGCAGTGGCGTCAGAAGGGCATCAAACCGAGCAGGGGTGTCGGATCCCTAGTGGCGATGGACCAACCACTACAACTGTTCACAAAACAACGGCTGATTCAGACCAGAAAGAAGCAGAAGCGTCGAACTAGTGAATGCTAGTCCGATGGCTTGCAGAGAGATTCTAGAGAGGGTTTGTGGGCGTCAGACCGGTCCGACAGTAGGCGTTAGACTATATGCCATAGAAGAACCCAACGGTCAGCAGAACGACTAGTTTCAACTGCTAGCTATGGACTGGGTGTTGGATTGGTCTGACAACCCATCATCGGATGGTCTGGTGAGTGTGCAAGTTCCAAAGGCTACATTTAGAGTTGGGGCCTATAAATAACCCCTTGGTCGAAAAAATGAGTGCGTGTAGAGCTCAAGGAAAACTTATGTGAGTTGAGGCTCATCTGAGTTGCTCTAGCCACCAAAGTGCTTAGTGATATA